GAGAGAGAGAGAGAGAGAGAGAGAGAGAGAGAAAGAGAGAGAGAGAAACCGACAGACAGACAAACAGACAGGCAGATAGGGAGACAGACAGATATTTAGTAAGCTAGGAGGGATTCAAGACACGTTGAACAGCAGGGGCAAAGAATGACGAGTGACACTTACGCAGCCTACCAGAAAATGTTCCATTTTAAGATATTATGGATCGATGAGCGCCGGACAGCAGAACAAAGCTTAGCACGGACCGGGGCTCCCTCTGACGTATTTAGTTTGATAAAGAGGATGTCTACAGAGGTTTATCCGGCGACGACCCAAATCAAAATAGGAAAAAATAATGTTGGTGAAAAGTTTAGAGACAGCCCGGGGAAGAAAAACACTTCCGCCTTTTCAAAGAAAAAAAGGAAAGAAAAACACCTCGAAAATATTCTTGTTCCCTATTCTACGATCGTATGAATTTTGATTTTTTTCCTCAACAACCTAATACTATTTAAGAGCAGAACCGTGTTTATGTGTGGCCTGTGTGTGTGTGTGTGGGGGGGGGGGGGGGGGGTAGCCTTTCAAACTCCTAAATAATACGAAGCCGAGTATAATCGAACCAGTGCAATCCCAACTGCTGACCATTACGATGCCAGCGACATAAACACGAATCCTTTGCCTTTTGTGAAAACACAAAACTCAAATAGCATAAACTCTCGTTTAATAAACAACTCAAATTTGCACGCGTTGAGAGAAGTCAAAAGGTTTTAAATTCCACACTTGAAAAGATCGCTGAAGTACATCTCCTTTGTCCTCTTCTTTACTTTGAAAGACTCGCGCAGACGTTCTTGCCACCTAAAATATCAGACAGGCTTGGAAATACGTTTGGCCAAAAAAAAAAATCCGTAAACGATCCGTATTATAAAGAAAAAGGAATAGTATAGTCGCAAAATTTTATAGCTAATCGAAAACAAATATCCATAAAAGTAAAAAGTCGCCAAAATAAGTGTCATTCCCGTCTGTAAAGCTCTAAAGTCAAATTCACACAAACTCTCACCTTTCAAACTATCAAAGTATCAAGTCGTCTGAGAAGCATTATTGATCTCTCGCCCCTTGGAGACAGTAGATGCCTCACTCACCCTACGGTAAAGTCTTTTTATCTAATTAAGCCGTAGCTGGCCGTGTCAGGGCGAGTAGCCACTGTCGGAATGGCTCCCAGACCGGACGTCGCTGTGGGCACCCAAAGGAAAAGAATCCTCCCTGAGGACATACTGAAACTTATCGATGCCAGTTTCATCAGAAGGTCGATACTGAAGGTGAATATAAAACGCGAGTATGTCTCAGTATCTTAAACATTATTGTTTGTAGTTCATATTCATGTCCCGTTTTGTTGCTTTTTAAGGCATGGGGGTGTTTCGATTTACCCACAACACGCTGTGCCCCTTTTCGAAGGCGGACGACTTCATTTTCAGACTCTTATAGGCTTTTGGTAGTATTTGAGTGGCATTAGGGCTGCGTTTTCCTATCGAAGACTGAGGTACAAATACCATTTAAAATGACTTCTGTGGCTAAGGTTAGAAATGCAAAGTCGTCTAAAGAATACTCTCATCAGCTATAACAAAGCCGTTTAAAGCCAAAACAAAACATTGAGTCAAAAAAACACACAAAAAACAACACACGTCCCACCAGCTGAACCGTCCATATGACCATGTTGGACGCACAAGTACAAACGACAACTGACCGTGTTTCGAATCCTCCATGTATTATTTTTAATCTTCTGTTACTTGTATGCTAAGTAAGGTCAACTCTTCTACATGGCTGTGAATGCTGGACAATCACTAAAATAATGAAAATAAAGTAAAAGCAACAGAAACGTGGTTTCTTAAGAGACTGCTGAGAATCTTAGAAGGAAAAGAAATCAAATGAGATAGTACTTGATGAAGCGAACTTGGGAAAGGGAAACTCACTGATAAAACTATAGTGAAAAGACAAATTAATGCAATATAGAGACACCTGAATAGACATAAAGGTCTTGAAAATCTAGCTCTCATTGGCAAATTTGAAGGCAAACGAGGCAGGGGTAGGCCCAGAGCTACCTACTTAGAGAACCTAAACAGATGGGTAACGGGGAAAGATCAGAGTATCGTGGTTTTTTTAAGAGTTTAGTTTTAGTAGAGGTTTTACGGCGCTCGCAACTGCATAAAGTCATATGAGCGCCAGAAGATTAGAGGCGTTACAAGAGAGTAACAAACATAGAAAAGAAGAAGAGGAGACAAGGACGATAGATGTTTATAGGAAAGGAGAAGCAAACCATACCAGAACACCCGCCAGCCACCCACTTTTTTAAAAAAAAGAGCATCCGAGCAAAGGAACAAATGGAGAACCGCGATCGCCGATCTCTGCGGCAGATATGGCACCTGATGATGATGATGATGATGATGATGTTGTTTCAGGAGCTTTCAAAGCTCTTCATTGACTTGATTTGGTTCTACGGGAGACGGACACTGGATTCCGAAGTTCTACGTATTTAAAAAGCGTTTAGTATTTCAGTGGGGAGTTAAATCATACCACATCAAACTAAAAAAAAGAAAGTACTTGAAGTGTCCCCCC